AATCCCACCACTGCAACAACACCAAAATATCATCAAACCTTCGGTAAAATACAAACAAAGTATAAATAATGTCTTTGCAACTGGACTGAGATTCCGTGGAACCCTTTCAAAAAGCACTGTAGAAAGTGGTATCGAATGATGAGTATGGTAATCATTCACTTCCTTCGGTTGGGTTTGACTCGTTAAATTAGCATGTCTTCATCCCGCAAGCTCCATTTGCACGCACAGGAAATAAAGAAACTACTTTCATTGTATTGGGCACGGATCAATGAAACAAATATACTTGATTAAATAGGGTAACAAATTGGCCCATTGTCTGCAACCCTATTCTTGCCCCCAGCTCTTTACGCATTCCAATGCATGCCACTGATATCGGGCTGCTGGACAGCAACACCTCGTCTCTTGACCTTGCCACACTCGTTGGTTGGCCACCATAGGCTCACCCTTGACCTCTATTTTTGCAGTTCATAGACGAAATAGAGAACATCAACCACTTCTCTACCCATGTTCATCTTCAAAAACCAACCAATGCCCTCATATTAAATGCTTTGGCTATGCAAGAGAGAACCCATTTCCTTCTCTATCTTAGCAACCATACATGCTTCGTGGTTGAGTGGGCCTTGTGATTCTGGTGACGAAATCTAGTTTGTTGTCGGGCATGTCCCTGAGTGATGATGCATCTTCCTCAATGAAAGAGTTCAAGTTGTAGGTTCCGATGCATAAATGCCAGAGCTCTTCAACAGAAATCATTGATTATGACCTACTTGCGTGGTGTTGGGTGAATACGAGTCCAGTGGTTCTGATGGTGGTCGGCGGTTTGGAATCCTTGAAATCTGAGTGTCCAACCCTTACTGTTTCTCACATCTTCCTCCTCCATTATCAAGCTAAGGTTTTTCTTGTTCTTAATCACTTCTTTTGCTGAATGACTACCCTTGTTCTTTGTTTCTTTTTCTTCCTCACCATTGATGCCCTCTCCACTACCTTATTTCTAAATTTTTTTCACTAAATTTGGTATGAGTTCTAATGCACCAAACTTTGTTTCTTCGCCCCATGTAGGTTCTTTCATTCCACCCTTGAATCTACATTCTCACATTTGTTTCTTGGCTCCCATGTTTCTTGTTCCTCATTCCTCGTTCCAACCCCAAATCAACTTATCAAGATCATACTGCAAAGAATACATAATATTATATATACATTTGAAACTCAAATTAACGAATAAAGTCAATCATAAATGCTTTTATTTAAGAGGTTGTGTTAGATATATTATATCTTTTATCTTTTAGTTAGTTTGTTATTATTTCTCATTTGTATTTTGGGCTTAGCCCATATTTCTTCTATTATAAATAGAGAACCCTATGTGTGTATTTTACACAAGGGAGATTAATCCAAATATAGTTTTTCACAAAATTTAGTCCCTACAGTTTTATAGTTGTCAACCGTCGCGGCAGTCGCCACCGTCTCAAACAGACGCAACTGCGTCAGTTCTTCTTGGGCTAGAGTTTAGTCCGATCTTCTTGTGATACACTGCTAAGTATCACTACTTGGGAGTTGTCCAGCAAAGAATTTTGGACCTCCAACATGTCTTTGGATCTTTGATGCCTTTGTTTCAGCATTGTAGCTTAATATTTTGTTTTGTTTTAGTGGTCCAACAACTGTGATATTTCACATTTCCGCCCTTCACATTAAGGGGGAGTACATTGCAAGTCACATAAATATGGGTGTAGTCCCTGCAGTTTTGTAGATTTCGGCTACTACTGTTGATCCCGTCACCCATCCATCATTGATGAGGATTTAGTGTAGTCCCTGCAGTTTTGTAGCTCTTAGCTTTCAACTACTACTGTTGATCCCGTCACTCATCCATCATTGATTGGGAATCAGTCCTTGCAGCTTGTCATTGTCCACTACTGCTCTCCTTCATCCACTTTTGAAGTTGAAGTTTCACAAGCTGTTGTTAGTCCATCTATGTTTGCCTCACACTCTTGAAGACAAATCATTTAGTTCAACACTGAGTTCATCTATTCCAAGCTTAGTCCATACAATTTGTATGCTCCAGCTTGAGGGGGAGTGTTAGATATATTATATCTTTTATCTTTTAGTTAGTTTGTTATTATTTCTCATTTGTATTTTGGGCTTAGCCCATATTTCTTCTATTATAAATAGAGAACCCTATGTGTGTATTTTACACAAGGGAGATTAATCCAAATATAGTTTTTCACTATATTCAACAGGTTGAATAGTCAAAGAAGGGGAATCATTCATGTTCTCATGGTGGGAAATAATGATGCAATTAGTAGGAATTAAAAGCATGATAAAAATTACAAAGAAAACCAAAAATTATATTGACCCCCTTAATATCATATCAATTTGTAATGTTTTTTAGTAGTGACAGATTATATTTGTATTCTGTGAACAATCACTAAGCATCAAATTTTCATAGGTGGAGCTAGGTAGATATCTGTACGAAAGGCTTCTTTCAGTCCCAAATATTCGTATCTATGGGCCAGCGCCTTCAGAAAATGTCCAACGAGCAGCTCTTTGTTCTTTCAATGTTGAGAATTTGCACCCCACTGATCTTGCAACATTTCTGGACCAACAGGTAAGAGGATAAATGATTATCCCCAGATATGATTATCTTGGTCTTGGGAAGTTTATTATATATAAATTAATCGTCATAAAGCCTGAACTTTGAATCTGTGGAAGAAACTTGGTGGCTGTTGAAGTTGTTAGGTAATTAATTGATAGTGTATCATTTCAGCATGGAGTGGCTATCAGATCAGGTCACCATTGTGCCCAACCCCTCCATCGCTTCTTAGGAGTCAGCTCAAGTGCACGCGCTAGTCTCTACTTCTACAACACAAAGGAAGATGTGGACTACTTTATCCATGCCCTCAACGACACAGTCAGCTTTTTCAACTCATTCAAGTAACCAGGATGTATTTTAATGTATATTAAATTTTGTTTACACGCCAATGAGAGGGCTGTCTTAGTTGGTAGGAAAGCTGCGTCAATTAAATGTCTTTGAATTTCATTCCTTCTATTGATATCAATGGTAGGAACCAGGCATCCATTAATTGCAGTATTAGAACCTATCTACAGCTAAACTTTTATGCCTAAAGAGAATGCCCTTAAGCATTTAAATTTTTCCCCCTCATCATGTTGGAAGGTGAATGTTTTATCCATTTTTACTTTTTGATGGAATAATATGATGTCTAGTGCTCATTTGTTTTAAATTTAAATAAAGTTGTGGAATTAATTTTTAAACCACTGAACATAGTTTGGAAGGGCCCATGTTTAAATGTGTGCATAAAAGAAGGAAATATCAAAGACTTGTAATGCGGAGACAATTCAGAACATTCTGATAATTCTAAAAAACAGACTTTGGTCTGCAGACTGTGAAGAACTTTCTGACTGTGCTTGTAAAAATGACACCTCTCAGATTCCAGGGCCATAAATTTCTTGGTGATTTAAGTGTCAACAAGGGTGTTTCTCTATTGATACTATATGGTGGTGTAATTCCCTGGTTCAAACATAATTTCTGCTTCCTATTTTGTGGTATAATGATAGCTATAAAATATGGTAAATAAATAGGGTTGTATATGAAAATCATTTTCTGAAAAGTTTGATGCGATTAAACGTGAGTATTGATTGTGATTCTTTTCCGTTATTACAGTACATAATTCCTTTTATTTATAGTTAAAAAACAAGAAGGAAAATCAAGAGTCATGCTTGATGTAATTAGACTAAGTAATACAAGAAAGGATAACAATGGGGTGAGTGTATGTTTTAGGATCAAATTTTCACTTTTCATTTGTATAAGTTTATTTATTATTTCAATTATTAACTAAATAGTTTTTACGGCAATTAGAAATTTCATATCAACTAGGATGATATAATTCTGATCTAAAGCTTTAAATGTAATAATTAACTTTAACTATTGGTATCACAACAAACTTGAAATTCGAACATTAATCATTCACGATGTTTCAACTTTTATATATATATATATATATATATATATATATATAAGCTGGTGTGAAAAATGTAACAGTTGTAAAGGCTATATTCTCTAAAATTCAAAATGGTTTTAGAATAAAGTCACGGTGAAGGCCTAGCCAGGAATTTATGTAGAGTGCCCATTTTGAACATGCAATTATGATTGATGTTAAAAAATATAAGAAATACTAGCGACCGATCGCAAGGGATTTACTTTTTTTGTTCTACTAGAATATGAAAGGTTACCACCATTTTGCTCACATTGTCAGTTCATTGGTTATGATACTAGCAAATGTCGGAAGCTTCTTTCTAACAAAGATGGTCCACTGAAAAGGATTTATCCCATTCAATAAAGTGGTCTGGGCGTTAGTTGGTCTATTTGGTAAATCAATCTACTATTTTCTATATTATTGATGTTATATAGTTCAACAGGAATCTAATTTGTTTTGAGAATGTCTTAATTTTGTATAATAGAAGCCGTGATCGTGTGTATGCGGTTGGCAAGGTTTCTTTTACTATAGATTCAAATATATAGGAATTTTGTGTGCTAAAATTTGTTTGTGTTGACACTTTTCCTAGTTCTGCACCTAGAGTTATTCCACTGACTTGAAAACCTCCTATATGTTCATAAATTAAATATAATATTGATGGGGCAACAAAAGATTCACCTGGTTTACCTACTTGAAGGGGAATTATTCAGGATCATTCTATTGTTGTTGCTAGTTTCTTTTCTATTTTCCTTTATCAGCAAGTTTCTTTATACGCCAATATCACAGAAGTATAAACACAGTTGGATTCAGTATGGATAGAGAATGGCACAATTAGTTGACAAGGAGTGATTCAATGTTAGTGGTTCAAGTTTTTTCCAACTCACGTTGTGCTGCAACTATTATCGGATAAACTTTTCAACTATGATGTTACTTATCCATGTAGTGGTAAGATTTCATTCGCTATGAATTTTATAAAAATAGTTTCATTTACCTTTTTATAACCTTGTTGTTAGCTAAATGGGTTCGGTTAGTCCCGAGCAGTGTTGTCAAATGGGTTGTAATCCGCGAACCAACTCGGCTCACCACAAGTTTGAGTCGAGTTAGGTTTGAAAAAATTGTAAATTTTTTATTTTCAACCCGACTCACTTAGACTCGACTCATCCGGATTGAACTCGTGATGAGCCAAGTTGGCTCACCAACCCACCTAGTTTAATTTAATTATTTATTATTNAGATTAATCCAAATATAGTTTTTCACTATATTCAACAGGTTGAATAGTCAAAGAAGGGGAATCATTCATGTTCTCATGGTGGGAAATAATGATGCAATTAGTAGGAATTAAAAGCATGATAAAAATTACAAAGAAAACCAAAAATTATATTGACCCCCTTAATATCATATCAATTTGTAATGTTTTTTAGTAGTGACAGATTATATTTGTATTCTGTGAACAATCACTAAGCATCAAATTTTCATAGGTGGAGCTAGGTAGATATCTGTACGAAAGGCTTCTTTCAGTCCCAAATATTCGTATCTATGGGCCAGCGCCTTCAGAAAATGTCCAACGAGCAGCTCTTTGTTCTTTCAATGTTGAGAATTTGCACCCCACTGATCTTGCAACATTTCTGGACCAACAGGTAAGAGGATAAATGATTATCCCCAGATATGATTATCTTGGTCTTGGGAAGTTTATTATATATAAATTAATCGTCATAAAGCCTGAACTTTGAATCTGTGGAAGAAACTTGGTGGCTGTTGAAGTTGTTAGGTAATTAATTGATAGTGTATCATTTCAGCATGGAGTGGCTATCAGATCAGGTCACCATTGTGCCCAACCCCTCCATCGCTTCTTAGGAGTCAGCTCAAGTGCACGCGCTAGTCTCTACTTCTACAACACAAAGGAAGATGTGGACTACTTTATCCATGCCCTCAACGACACAGTCAGCTTTTTCAACTCATTCAAGTAACCAGGATGTATTTTAATGTATATTAAATTTTGTTTACACGCCAATGAGAGGGCTGTCTTAGTTGGTAGGAAAGCTGCGTCAATTAAATGTCTTTGAATTTCATTCCTTCTATTGATATCAATGGTAGGAACCAGGCATCCATTAATTGCAGTATTAGAACCTATCTACAGCTAAACTTTTATGCCTAAAGAGAATGCCCTTAAGCATTTAAATTTTTCCCCCTCATCATGTTGGAAGGTGAATGTTTTATCCATTTTTACTTTTTGATGGAATAATATGATGTCTAGTGCTCATTTGTTTTAAATTTAAATAAAGTTGTGGAATTAATTTTTAAACCACTGAACATAGTTTGGAAGGGCCCATGTTTAAATGTGTGCATAAAAGAAGGAAATATCAAAGACTTGTAATGCGGAGACAATTCAGAACATTCTGATAATTCTAAAAAACAGACTTTGGTCTGCAGACTGTGAAGAACTTTCTGACTGTGCTTGTAAAAATGACACCTCTCAGATTCCAGGGCCATAAATTTCTTGGTGATTTAAGTGTCAACAAGGGTGTTTCTCTATTGATACTATATGGTGGTGTAATTCCCTGGTTCAAACATAATTTCTGCTTCCTATTTTGTGGTATAATGATAGCTATAAAATATGGTAAATAAATAGGGTTGTATATGAAAATCATTTTCTGAAAAGTTTGATGCGATTAAACGTGAGTATTGATTGTGATTCTTTTCCGTTATTACAGTACATAATTCCTTTTATTTATAGTTAAAAAACAAGAAGGAAAATCAAGAGTCATGCTTGATGTAATTAGACTAAGTAATACAAGAAAGGATAACAATGGGGTGAGTGTATGTTTTAGGATCAAATTTTCACTTTTCATTTGTATAAGTTTATTTATTATTTCAATTATTAACTAAATAGTTTTTACGGCAATTAGAAATTTCATATCAACTAGGATGATATAATTCTGATCTAAAGCTTTAAATGTAATAATTAACTTTAACTATTGGTATCACAACAAACTTGAAATTCGAACATTAATCATTCACGATGTTTCAACTTTTATATATATATATATATATATATATATATATATATAAAAGCTGGTGTGAAAAATGTAACAGTTGTAAAGGCTATATTCTCTAAAATTCAAAATGGTTTTAGAATAAAGTCACGGTGAAGGCCTAGCCAGGAATTTATGTAGAGTGCCCATTTTGAACATGCAATTATGATTGATGTTAAAAAATATAAGAAATACTAGCGACCGATCGCAAGGGATTTACTTTTTTTGTTCTACTAGAATATGAAAGGTTACCACCATTTTGCTCACATTGTCAGTTCATTGGTTATGATACTAGCAAATGTCGGAAGCTTCTTTCTAACAAAGATGGTCCACTGAAAAGGATTTATCCCATTCAATAAAGTGGTCTGGGCGTTAGTTGGTCTATTTGGTAAATCAATCTACTATTTTCTATATTATTGATGTTATATAGTTCAACAGGAATCTAATTTGTTTTGAGAATGTCTTAATTTTGTATAATAGAAGCCGTGATCGTGTGTATGCGGTTGGCAAGGTTTCTTTTACTATAGATTCAAATATATAGGAATTTTGTGTGCTAAAATTTGTTTGTGTTGACACTTTTCCTAGTTCTGCACCTAGAGTTATTCCACTGACTTGAAAACCTCCTATATGTTCATAAATTAAATATAATATTGATGGGGCAACAAAAGATTCACCTGGTTTACCTACTTGAAGGGGAATTATTCAGGATCATTCTATTGTTGTTGCTAGTTTCTTTTCTATTTTCCTTTATCAGCAAGTTTCTTTATACGCCAATATCACAGAAGTATAAACACAGTTGGATTCAGTATGGATAGAGAATGGCACAATTAGTTGACAAGGAGTGATTCAATGTTAGTGGTTCAAGTTTTTTCCAACTCACGTTGTGCTGCAACTATTATCGGATAAACTTTTCAACTATGATGTTACTTATCCATGTAGTGGTAAGATTTCATTCGCTATGAATTTTATAAAAATAGTTTCATTTACCTTTTTATAACCTTGTTGTTAGCTAAATGGGTTCGGTTAGTCCCGAGCAGTGTTGTCAAATGGGTTGTAATCCGCGAACCAACTCGGCTCACCACAAGTTTGAGTCGAGTTAGGTTTGAAAAAATTGTAAATTTTTTATTTTCAACCCGACTCACTTAGACTCGACTCATCCGGATTGAACTCGTGATGAGCCAAGTTGGCTCACCAACCCACCTAGTTTAATTTAATTATTTATTATTTTGTGTTTCAATATTATTAGTTAGCATTTTTTTATTATATTGTAAATGAGGATAAAAAAGATGTTTCAAGAGAGAAAAATATTATAGATTTATCTATTCAAGACTCTAACATTATAAATGGACAAGTGATACAAAAATTATCAATATTAACAACTTATTTGTCCGTCTTTTGTGTTTGTTTTTTAAATTACACTTAGATTGTATGATATTTCTTTTTTATTTTGATTTGTTTTTTAAGTTTAACATTATTTTAGAATGAACTTTATTTAGATTTGAATTAAAAAAATTATATGTTTTTTATTTTAAAAAAATTTATAATTAAGTGAACCAGTGAGTCAACCCATTTAACCCACTAACCCGTGATGGATAGTACCGGGTTTGAATTTTTTCAGCTTGCTAATAAGTGAGCCGAGTTGGATTGGCTCATTTAATGACCAACCCGTGATAGATCGAGCCAGATTACTCGTTTTGACAGCCTAGTCCCGAGCTATCTTGTATTTAAACGGGTTGTTCTTTATTTCTTATGTCACTTTGATATGTTGCAAATAATTTATGTAGCTTGAGATTGAGATCATAAGCTATATAGTGATCTTTTGCATACCCATCTTTCCATAAAAAAAATGTTATTAATTTTATGGTCATTTTCTAAAGACTACTCTTAAAGAAGAAGACCGAAATCTACTTGCAAATGTATAAAAGAACCAGTGATTTAGAGAAAACCAGTGGATCAAAACCCCTGATAAAAGAATGTCACCAACTAAACAGGTGTACCACTTACAAATATATATATATATATATATATATATATATATATATATAGAGAGAGAGAGAGAGAGAGAGAGAGAGAGAGAGAGAGAGATACTTCCAAGAGTTGGGGACAGTCAGAAGGATACAGTCTTTAACACATGGGAAACTGTTCACAAATATATTTATGACCCTTCTTCGTCTACAAGGATAATAGAATCATTTCCAATTCCAAGGTCCATCAGAGATGAAGTGTCATTGTCAAGCATCAAAGGAAATGGAGAACCCTGCATACATAACGCGAAGACATGCAACTAAATCAAGAAAGATTTTTTTTTTCTCTGCAAAAACCATACTCATCTTGCAAAACTTTCTTGAGATGATATAAACAAGTATGTATGACCATCTGCTATGTTCTATGGTCTTCATCTTCCCTCCCTCATTCTCCACAATAAAGTTGTCACAAAAATGGTTTTCCAGAATAACAATTTGAAATTATTTCATTCAATCAGAGCAGAACACAATGATTTCTTAAGATTGTCTGGAAGCTTCTGCTTCTCATTTAGGAAAATTCTGAATCAGATAATCAGACAATCGTAATAACAAATAGCACATCTTAATCTTGATAAAAGCAAACCTCTTCTTGAAGATATAACTTTAGCTTCATGGACTTCAGCTTAAAAAAGCTTTCACATAGAGATTTCAGCTTACCGACCTAAGAAAAACAAGGTAATCAGAGGGATTTTTTAAGTCTTGAAATACTGAACATTGCATTACTGAGGCAGTGTCGATGCTTAACTGTAGTTGTTGCTGGAAGCTTCTTTGTCAATGGTGGCTTCTCACCCATGGATGCTCCAACACAATTCAGAGTGATAGCTGCATTAATCTCAATATCAAAATAAAGATATTTCAAATTCCGAAAAACAAGCAGATGTGCAAACTTAACAATCGTAGTCCATACACAATAACCCTGAGCCGATTGTTTGTGGGACAGTAGTTCCACTTGAAGGTCTTTCATCCTCAATTCCATGAATCTTCTTAAGCTCGTATAACCTGTAGCAAATTGCACCAATATATTCACAAAACATAGTTCACCTGTATTGGAAATTAATTGATAATCCCGTCTAGATCCAGTTTCAATTAATATCTACAGTAACAGAACTCTGATATATAG